CCTCCTCGATATCCCCACGCCAGAACCAACCCCTTCGCGGCCCTCGACATCATACGACAGGCATACCTCCAAAGACGGCATATGCAACCAATCGCCCTGGATCAACCGCCATATCCTCGATGAACTCACGGAACGGGAATTATACCTAGCATGTCGCCACGTCCTGCTGCACTCCAAGCTGTCCGATCATGGCGTGAGGAACACAGGCTCCAAGCTAGACTGTAATGGGCCTGGAAGACAGGCTCCAAGCTAGACTGTAATGGGCCTGGAAGACAGAAGAATCGCATAACACAAGCCTGCGAGACCAGCGTACACATGCCCATCAGCGTGCTCGCAGAGTTGTCGTCAACTTCCTCCATCGAACGAGGACCCAACATCAAGACCCGAACGCGACCGAAGGCGAACATGGAGGCAAGAGCAAGGAGCTACGGAGACATGTCTACATGCGCGAATAGTAATGGCAAGCGAGCCGCTTTCGGATAGTTCAACGACCGGGGTGCTCAAAAGTAGGAGAGGTTGAGGATGCGCGACAGTTTTCCCGACTGTGTACCGCAATGGACCAACAGATACGACGAAGATGCTACGCTACCTGTAGTACTCATCTCAACCCTCGCGAACGCCAATTTGTCGTCATAACGATCTGCTAGTCTTCCACAAGCAACTTTGGCCAATGTCTCGACGCAGGCTCTAGCAACTGCATTCGATAGTCAAGTGGAGGCTGCGCGTCTGTCTTGAGATGGAACAGAAGTTCCGAGACGTCTGCTTTCTCTTGCAAGATGATTGTGGATACGATCGCGCGCGGAATCCTTCCGACTGAGTCTAAAACTCAGGCCGAGATTGGCAAAATCTCAAGTCTGAAGGCAACTTTCATTGACTCGATGTCTAAGAAGGATAAAAAGGATAATTGAATGCTTGGAGTAGAGGTTGTTGATAAAGTAGCACAAGTGCATCACCTATAGCATGCTATAGATCTCGTTTGTTCACTGTCGTCTAGAGTGGCGCCTTCCTTTTTGACCACTTGTTTAATCCGGATTCGGTCACTTGTGACATGAAATACCTCTAATGCATAATATGCGGCGATACAAGTCTGCATCTCCTTCATCTCCCTTCACAAGACTGCTAAAGAGCCGTCTGGCCAGCTTCATGGGCATCGATAAAATGATGTCCGTCCCTAATTTCCAGTCGCACCCTGCCGCGAGACGGACGCCAGGGACTTTAAGATCGAACATTTGAAATCTTTCATGTCCGTGTGGTTAATCTCTAATCCCCTGTTCGTAGCTCCTTACCTTAATTTAACTTTGGCTTGTTTCTCTACTTGAGGATACGAAATTTATGCCGTCGTTGACGCCTGCACGCCGTGCAGAGTCAAGCCTAATGTACTGAAGTTTAAGCCGACATCATACAATCATACAGCATGGTGCTTGACCCCTGAGACTCTGTCGAGCTGATAAACTCATTCATCTAGGCTTCTTGGTATTACTGTAGGCATACAAAGTCACCGCGAGCCTTGTGGCGATTGTCGCGCGCTCGTCTATATGTAGTTGCCACTCCAGTCGATACCTAAGAACGTAGTAGGTTCCTGATACAGTCAATGCAGCACCGACCCCAAACTCACAATACGAGTAGCGTGTCATTCACCTCAGGCTAACAGAAAGGTGGCTATTGTGGCTGCGCAGCTTTCGAAGTGGATATGTGTTGAAGCGTCACTTGAAATAGATAATTGTATCTTCATGCTCAAACCTACATCTCTTCTTGACAGACACCCTGGTGTGCCGGAACCGACCAAGCAACTTCTCAAGAGTCTGCGGCCTTCGCTGACTAATCATGGATCTATGTACATGCCCTAGTTACAGCTGCGTTGACTTACATTTTCAGTCTTTCGAAGGTCAGAGTGCAAAATCGTCTCGTCTCAGGGATGGACATTGCCTACAATTTTGTCCATCACGGCGGCTGATACTTTACGAAGGATGCACATTATAAGACTTTCTTATTTTCCAAGTTTCCCTGAATCAATCTCCATCATTGATATTAATACTAGTTATGTTCTATGAGAGTTAATTACGTTGATCTGCATGACACTATGTATCTTGCAACTACTGTATTGTTTTACGGCACACACTACAGACTGTTTCTTTCTCGCGCCACGTACACACGTCTTCATTGTGCAAAGTTTGTTGTAATCGTTTTAGCCCGTCGATCGCTATTTCCTCGTAATCGTCGTGACTTTTATAGCCATTCTGCTTTTTGTTAAAAGTCTTGTCCTCGTCTTCGGTGAAATTCTAACCTCATCCATCCAATAAACACGAATCTTGTTGGTTGAGGCAGGAGGCTCCGTACTCCCAAATAATTGAGTAACATAATCCGCCAAACGACTTTTTCCTTTGGGAGCGCAGTCTGACATTGTAAAGCAACAGAGAAGGAGCGGCTTTCGAGATGCTCGAGGTTGTTCTCAATGATGAAAATGTGTACAATCAACGGAGGTTATCGAAAATGGTGGTAAGCTCTGCTGTAAACATGCTAAGTAAGTCTGCATCTTATATAGCTGCTGACAGGGGGAGGCTTGGTTTCAGTTGTCGCTTGTACTATACTGAAAGTAGCTTAGTGCGCACTGGGCGTGCATGTTGGCTTGGTGCTTTGTAGGAAAGGTTGAATGTGGCGTATTCTCGACGTCTTCGGTTGCGTACGATCCATACTTGGCGTCTTCGAGGCGATGGCACTCTCGAGAAGATGGGTCTCGGTCATACATCTCGGTTGCGATATGTTTGCTGTGTGATCTCTTCCGTTTCCCGTGGGATGCTAAGGATGCGTAGCCTAGGGCGACGCGGGACAGGAACGAGCATCAAGGATCGTGGAAGTCGTCGAAGCGTCTCCTCACAGAGTCACTCAGCCATAGGCGCCATCCCTCAACAACGTGAAGGTGTGGTGAGAACATGATGCGCAATGCTGCTGGGCGTTGCTGACTGTCATGGAGCTAACAGGGTCGCTTGGGCAAATTGGCAGGCCCCCTAATTGGACCCGGTACAGCGACGCTTGTCGCGAGCCGCCATAGATCCGTAATTCAAAATCAAGCATGCGCCAATGGGTTTCACTTCTAGCACTAAACCCGGAGCTTGTTCTCCATACAAATCTCATAGTTCCCGTTCTGGATTCGTTCGCCGTTGGTAATTGCCACGGTACCAGTTCGATAAGCTCCAAGCAGAATACAGAGCACTTGGCGCCGTGCTATCGCTACCATTCATGGGTAGGTGGCGCTGCACAGACAGGCGTTGACGTCCCTGCGACAAGGAGAAGTCGCTAACATCCGGCTCAAAGCATCATAGCATAACGACGCGGCACCACATTGCAAACATGCTAGCGCGCGCTCCGAGAACAGCACGGCTTCGACTAAGGAGTGTTGTTCCAACGCTGACTGCGACGTTTTGCGCCCAGCCAAGGGCCGAGCGCACTGTGTCGCCAACATGCAGCGCCCGTGCACGCGCAATACGGTCCAAGCTTACCGCATCGATGTTACACGAAACGTGCACTTCCCGGCGATTCTACAATCCGTTCGACACGATGTTAACACGTAATAGAGATGGCCCACGCTCAATAGTGAGATTATAGCCATTTACCGCCTCGCGCCATTGTTGCACTTTGCCGGCGCAGATAGCCCAAGCGCAATCGACCTCGTGTCTATGATCCGTGGCAAACTCAGCTTCAACCTGATACGCGACTGCCTTGCCGGCTCACAAGCTCACGCTGCAGACAGCCTTCACACTTGACGAAATAATCATGCTTGCTGATTCTTCGCTCAAGCCCCGTTTTCGTCTTCACTCTTACAAGTTCTGAATCGGAGTCCACTACTGGCGAATTACAGATTATAACCTACTGTCAGAGCGCCCGCGATCGCGCGGCGATCTTTTGCTTCCTCGACGAACTCTACCATATCGCCCACGACTAAACTACGGCAGCACACAAGTACGCGTGTGTTCTGTTCGACCTACAGAACTGTGCATTCATTTACATCGCTGCCTCTCATAGTCAAGATAATAGGGCACGATTGTATACTAATTATGGGCGATTGTTGCCCTAGAAGACTCTCGTATCACCTTTCCACAGTGCCAAAGGTGTGTGTCCTATGCCAAAACAAAAAAGTGCAAACATTCATGCAGTGGCAGGATCGGCTCGTTGATGCAACAATCGTACTTTTGCTGTTTGCAATATGACTGCAGATTGATCGTCTCCTGGTCTTGTTCGCCTACGAGTTTTCGGCCTAATCTCCACTGGCTCCTGTACCATGGCCACAAACAAGAAAGAGGGTGAAACCTGAGATTCGTGGCCACGTGAGTTATGGAGAGGCTAGATTTGTCGCCTTATGGACTTAACAATACGACCTACGCTGTGCGAAGTTGATCGAACGAATGAGCTGTTGCAGGCTGGCTTTGTGACTCTAAGCTTACTGGAATCTGTGATTGAAGCGCTTCGCAAAAGATCCGTTGCGAGGGTATGTTCGCGACTCTTTTATAAACACTGCTCGTGGTTTTCATCGAGTCATTTGATGGAATTCCTTCCGGATACGTGTAAGAAACATGAAAAGCATGGCCCGTGATCTTGCAGTTTCTCTTTGAGACAGGCTTACTAGTTAGATTAAAGATTCGCATGAAGCAAAAGTGATGGTTGAGCAAGGTGAATTGGTATGAGAGAACGACTAGCTAAGCTACAAAGGACCGCTAATTCGTTGCTATAGACCACGTTATCACTGTTGACTGACGTCAGAAATCTGGACCCGGCAGAACGAGAACAAGCCACGACACCTGAAACCAGGAATGAGAATCTTCGCATCGAGATATACATTGGCAGTCAGACACGTTTTGATACCGCCATGGCCCTGCATAACTGACACGCATCATTTCGTTTTTCTTCTGGCTAGGTAGGACAGTACGAGAATTGATAAACATCTTCGTTCCCTTCTTCTTAGTTGCAGACTTCAATCATGAAAGACCTTCAGGCCACGTAAAGACTCAGCAAGAATCACTGGGATAACCCATATCCACAGCTTCAGATTCTTCGTCTGGTACTGCTTCTGACTCGGTTGGTAGATCCCCCTCGATGTGAGCCGTATCGGAAGATACCTCAACTTCCTCCAGCCCATCATTAGTGATGACTTCGCCCGATTCTCCGCAGGGAGAGTTCAATGACACGTCTGGCGGAAAAGTCCCAGATCCACTATCAAAGATGGCCGCGCTCGTTGCACCTAGACACAGCCAATCATTAGTCTACAATTATCATACTTGCAAAGTTCTGTTGAGAACACGATTATGCGCTTACCTTGTAAAGTTCTTATCATGAATCTGTTACACGTCTCCAGCCCCTGCACCAATACATCCAGCTGGTTTTCCAATTGCTTCCGCTTCGCTCGGCTCTCTTCAGACTCGCCTGCAATGCTTGTCACTACATCAGAGGCCAGAGAAGTGACTTCGACTGGCGAAACAATATCGTTCAGTCTAGCGATGATACCCTTCTCGACAGCCTCGACAGCAACATCGTCGACGAAGCGTTCCATGGCGATCTGGCGAAACGGAAAGTATCTCAGCATAGCTACTTCACGAGAAGAAAGGATCACGGAAATCTTGCAGGGTGCGACGTACCTTATAGTAAGCTTGCATACAATCCAGCGCTTCGGAGCACGCATGCTGAGTCATATCAGGGTTGTTATGCGTCACGAGCGCATCTAACAGTGGACGATAATCCATCTCTCTAGACTGACGTTGTCCAGTTGGGTCGAGTGAGCTGATGTTGAAGGTTTCTTGGATGATGCGTGTGAGTTCTGCAGTACTTCTCTCTTTTCGGGCCTGCTGAAGCGTCTCTATGAAGTGATGGTTATAGGTGATGGGATGCCCACGCTGATGAGAAGCAAGCAGATCCGTCGTCTTACTTTCCACATCTTTGCAGATCCTCTCTAATGCTGGTTCGACTAAGGTTCGAAACAGCACGCCGCATGTGGAAGCGTCCGCGACATGGGAAGTGAGGTGTCCGAGAAAGGTCCTTGCCGCAAGTACGACTTTTGCGACATGAGCTCTAGCAAACTCTTCCCATCCCGATGACTGCTCGAAGAAGAGGTCAGATACTATCATGGGGCTGAAGGTGCCAGGCAGTTCTCGGCCACGGGTATGTTTCATGAGATCCTCGATTCGCTTGAGAAACTCGGGCCGGCTGAGGATTCTCTCCTTCGGTATCGCTATTGGTCTCACTGAATGACGTTCGTCAGAAGAGTTGATGATGGAGAAGTAGTGTCCTGCATGAGTCATTTCTTCCGCAAAAAACTGATTGAGGCTTTGCACCACAGCACGAATGCGCTTCTGGTAGCCAGCGTCAGTCTTAGCGTCGCCAAAAAACTCGTCGTTGTAAGTCCCGTCGACGGCGGCTTTCGTGAGAGTCTGGCATGATTGACTTAGAGTGACTAGATAGTGCCGTTGTTCGTCGGTAGTAGCTCGTGGCTGGCCTAGCTTTTGAAGTACAGCGCGACAAGCGGCAGACTTGAGTTCAATCTCGTCCACAAGACTGGGGAGTTCTGCCGCAATCTGAACAAGAAGGAGCTTGCTCAGTCGCTCTCTTAATGATACAATGCCAAGGATAGACTCGGGCAGCGCGGGCCACACTCCCTTGGAAAAGAAATGCTTTTCTTCTTCATCACGCTTAGAAAGATCCCAAGATCCGGTTTCTGAATCCATATTCTTGAGAACATGCCATCCAAGACGAAATTCCACATCGAGATTTTTGGCGAGCGATATGTACATGATTTCGCTGGCAGATCCTGGAACCAGACTATCAGGTTTCGTGATCACCCCGAGGGTGCGGGTGCCAGTTTTGTCAGCAGCTCGGGCGAGCTTGAGCACGATTTGGTTGGCGTAATCGTTCTTCGCAGACACAACCGCAAGAATAATGCTCCTGGGCTCTTTCATGTACGACTGGACGACGTCTTGCACAAGATCGATATCAGCTGCAGATTGCTGCTTGGTCTCTGAATGAATGAGACCTGGCAAGTCCACGATTGTGAGATGCGGTCGATCAGGGCCAGAAATCTCAATACGCAAGAGATCCTTGGAAAAGGCTCGACCGAGACTGCCAATGGCCATGGCTGTCTTGGCATCTTCGATCAGCTTTGGAAGTGCAGCAAAGCTATCGAGCGTCTCGCAGAAGCTTTGGAGAGATTCACGCTCTAGTTCGCTGCGCGAGCGGTCTGCGACGATGGAGACGCTGACGCCGATTTTTGATGTCTTTCGTAGCACTAACTCAGTTGGAAAACGAGTGCACAAGTTGCTCTTGACCGGAAAAGATACACCAGAAATGGCTTCAAGAACAGAGCTTTTGCCAGAAGATTGATCGCCACAAACAATGATTTGTGGAAGCGAAACATAATGATCGATCCCCTGAGAGCGAAGACGATCTACAGAGTCAAGAAGGTCTAGTTGATCTTTTGAGCATAGTTCATGGACGATGCGGGTATCGAATGGCTTGATAACCATTATGAACGAAAATCTCAGGTGGTGCGCTGTTTGTGTATCTATAGGGAGAAGTGAGTCGATGATTATCCTAAAAGTCCTAGTCTTGTGGCCAAGTCTAGTATACAGGAGTTCTGAATCTCCAAGGTCCAATCGACAGGATTAGGCTATTAGTCACTAGATCCGTCTCTGTGGCACATAGTCCGATCGTAGCACCCGCTATTCATCTCTCACCAAACGCACAAGTCAGCTTCCGCCATCATGCTTGCGCTTGTGAACCAGTTGCGTGCGACATCCGGAACCATTGCTTCTTAGCCTGCAGCCAACTCTTTACATGCATGGTTGATGTGCATCTGTCCGGTAAGACATCTGCATACTGATCATCGCAAAAGCAAGCAGTAGCCTTGCATCGGCGCATTGTTGATAACAGAGCGCATCTATGCGATGATTGGATACGTACGATAAGCAGCAGACTCTAATCATTACCCCTCACCGCTTATATGCAGAAAGCTGTACACTTTTGTATATCCCAACCTATCATGCAACGTGAGTTCGTTTTCGTACATACTTATCGCACGGCCAGCTTTGTTTCGCACGGCTGAGACTTTACTGTGATAATACGGAGACGTGCACCTCCACATTTGGTTACTTCCATCGGGATAATGACCACAGCGTACTTGTGGTAAGCCAGCACGCGCTGGATGATTGCTACAGATGCAAATCGCAACACCTTGAGCAGTTGTTAGCGTCACTCATCGCAACAGAACAAGCTGACATGAGATTCATTCAACTCCATTTGCCGCACAGTCAGGTGCGGATGTTGTACAATGGATACTTCGAAGAGAGTGTATCAGTATATTGTTTGTAGCACCCAGCTCAGTTTACATGGAGGCCATCGCATGGAATTGTAGATGATAGGGTTCATCGTCCCAATAGTGCTTCGCCTTCGACAATGTGACATTGCCCCTTGTCCCAGGCCAAGCGCTGTCGGGAACATTGTTACTAATAACGCCGTGCGATGACCTTGATACAAGCTCAGCTAGGATGCTACACATAATACAACACGTACACTCTCTCCCGACTTTCCATCTACAATACCCCCACCCTACCGTGCGGCACAAACTCAATCAAGCAACCAATCAGATTGAGTTCAAGTTGATTGATGGCCAGTCTGATTGTGGGCGAGCACAGTTGAATAGAACCCTCCAGAAACTGCCCCAAAGATGAGGGATGTGTAGGTTCAGAACGGCCGCTAGAGTCGATATTGAATACTTTTGATGATGCATTTCGTAAGCGTTCATCTAACGATCTTCTTGCTCTTTCTCAGTAAGTCGATTTCCCTCTCAAGTCTCGAGCGTTCATGCTTTGTCTGCAACTCCTCTCCGGCGATTTCCTCCAATGTCTCGTGACCAAGACGGGCTACGAATTGAGCGGACAGTAAATTCAACGGCGTTGTGTCTCCTGTCACAAGCTTGCAGTCAGCGACCTGCATACGTACCGCATCAACGAACCGCTTTCTGGCGACCTTGTAGTAAGAGCACAGTATGTCATGAATCTCGAGAGTGGTGTGTCTAGCATTGCTCAAAGAATGGCTCTGAACGATGTCGTCCAGACGTACCACCGTTCCGTGCTTGCAGTCCGTGATACTTTTCGAAACCAGACCCGCACGTACACGTTCATTGCGACTAGTGTTACTGTTAGCGCCGCAGGGCTCACGTATAAATCACCTACCATTTCTGGAGATTGTCGTTAAAGTAATGATTGTATGTAGCAGGCGTCCCATGAAGCTCAATATCGAGGAGGAACTGTGTGTGGTTGATCGCATCTCGATACATCTTTGTCAAGTCGTCCAACAGCAAGCTCCTGATCCCGCCCGAGACTCGACCGCTGGGAGCGATTTGCTGCAAAACTTCGATGATGAAATTATGCACCATGGCAATTATATCGCTAATATATCCATGTGCGAGGCAATCCCAATTTGCTGCTTGCTGCTTCAATACTACACTCAGAATCGTAGCATCGAACGTGCCAAGTTCAAAACCTCTGGAGCCGTGGTACAGCTTATCGATCCAATCGATGATATCATCATCAGAAGGGGCTGGTACCGAGGTATTGTCAAAGAGGAGATCCTCGATGTCCGGATGGTTCTTGATCGCCCGTACCTCGACGTCAGCTGGGCCTTGCATGGTAAGCCCCAACATCCCGCTCTGGATCGAAGTGCCCTGTGGTTGGAATCGATACATATGGCCATGGCTTTCTAGAGCTTTAGCGAAGGCCTCCCCTCGATTGATTGCCTGGGTGGCGAGCCGAAGAGTGGGATCGCGTCCGAATATCTCTGATCGACTATATCCAGCTTGTAGTGCGTCCGATACAAGGTTTTGGAATCGAATAGCAACATCGACTACGTACTGAAATTGTTCCTCGCGAGTTTGGCGCTTCGGCCCCAATTGACGTAAATCCTTCTCAGCTGTTTTCAGCTTTTTTGACAGTTCAGACCGGACCTACAGCATCAGCGTTGTGGAGATCCTAAGTTGAATATTTCGGACTAACTTTGGGAAACTCGCGACGGATATGGTCTTCGAGTATTTCCTGCAGCCGAATTCGAAGCGTCTTCACTCCCAACTTGTCTTTGTTGAGACTTTTCCAAGGTGCTGTCTTGGTGAAAAATTCTGCCTCTATTGTGTGTCGACATCGTCCAGCGTTTAGGTCAGACTGCCCCGGGTTTCGCAGTAGATGCCAACCCAAGCGCAAGCGGTGCTTCCGTTCCTCTAACAAATCCACAACCGCACCTTCGCTGCCCTGATCGATGAGATCGGGCTTCGTCAAGACACCCAAGGTACGGATTCCTTCAGCATCGAGGTCTTCCGCTCGTTCGAGAATCTCTTGAGTAGCAATGTCAACATTGCAAGGAACGACGATCAGCATAACGGATCTCGGGTTCGCCATGTAGCCATGTACCATTTGGTCAACCAAGGTGATATCGTCCTTGGTGGTCATGCCTTGTGTTGTTCGCTTAAAGATACCAGGAACATCTATGACGCTGAAATGTTCTTGCGTCGGACCAGATATTTCTAAGCGCAGAACATCTTCGGAAAATGTGCGCTGGTTCGACGCCATGTTCGATGCAATTTCCATAGCACCCGTTACCTTTCTTGTAAGTGTTGGCAATGACGTGAGACGCACTACGTACCTGCTCCATAATATTGCGGAATGAGTCTGCATCAAGTGATCGCATGGGGTTTGTGGTCCATGCCCGGAGTCTCTCTTGTCTTTCTTGGGAGCTGCTTTTGGCCGGTATGATGGATGCGACTATGTTTTCTTCGCTTGATCGGCGGAACGTGATTTGTGTTGCGAAGCGAGTACATAGCCCACTATCTCGAGGGAAGGGCAAACCCGTGAGCCCTTCGAGCACTGAACTCTTACCACTGGACTGGTCTCCTACAACTACCAATTGGGGTAGATCGACATACTCTCCGGCATTGCAGGCGAAAAGTTTGTCGATCTTCTCGAGAAGTGTTGAGCTCACAAGCCCGCCAACGGACGTGGTGTTGAAGTGTGTATCCATCTTGGTACAGTGCGATCAGAACCTCGACAGCACATTGGAGTTCGTTTTTCATGGCAGGCTCAGAAGAGAGCTTGAATTTATACGATATCCGTTATGCTTCATTGGCACTAAGGCATGTGAGCTCATGCGACAGCGCAATGGCACGTCATTCTGCACCGGTAGGACGGAAAGCTTGCAAACCCTACAGATAGCGTGGATTCCCTTGGAGTGATGCCCCGCTCGCCTCTAGTTGCCGGCGAATACTATTCCTTGTGAGCTAGGTGCACTGGTTGGTGGATCTTGCTCGGCGTGTAGAAGCGTTGCCATCACTCTTGGATAGGGCTAGTGTTGTGAATGTGGATCATATTGGTTCGGAACAACCACATGCATGCCCGTATCGCAACCTGCATAGATATAGATAAAGAGCACAGAACTAGAATCGTCACCTGCTGCATCAAAATTATGCAGATATAGCGTGCTTTATGCAGGAATGCATACCCCGCTTTCTGATTACGCTCAGTAAATCCAAGCAAGCTATGGTCCAACACAGACAACTGTCATGACCAGGTCTACACCGGGTACCAATGCCAAGCGACCCTACGTCCCGGGGTATACAGACATATCGTCCGCTGCCGAGCCCCGGTAGCCGTTCGTCTCTAGTCTACCTAAAACATGTACCCATAACAACCTCAATTCTGTGCATCCAGTATCCCGTCAGACATTACTACTTGATAACTACGTTTCTATTTCCTTTATTATCTAGATTCTGGTTCTCTCTATCTTTGTGAGTCACTCTTAGAGCCCGTTCAAAAAAGCTAAGTGTTAGAGAAATGATGATCGATCTTTGTCCCCACGAACCCCGGCAATCTCTATAGGCCGTAACTTTGAAAGATGATCGGCGAATGTGAAATTGATTAAGTAAATGATCCTGTTGACTATATCATGTTGTAACATGACATCCGCTATCGGAAGCTGCGAACATCAGATTTTTGCATCTCACACCATGCTCCCGAAGATGAATCTTTGGTGCCTTTTTAACTTACAAGAATCACCTCAACGCGCACGATTGATCCTCCGAAAGTCCGGAGTACTGCTTCCATCGGCTGATGGATAGATTGTGATGTAGACTAGTGTGTGGTTGCGGAACTCGGGGTTCGCAAGCTCGGCTCGCAACGCATTGGCTGGTGTACCCATCCAGCTGTAAGCTGTAATACAAGTTTGTCTTCTTCTATGCGTCGTAGTTAGAGAACAGACTCTTGAGGCAATTCACACTTCGAATAGTGTAGCACATGAGATCTTACAGAAAATTACTGATGTAGTACTCCTAGTCGTTGCATTAGCTCTTGTCTAGATAACTGTCGTACGATGACTGTAGAAGGCAAGGCGCTAGCGGGGAACACCATTGCAAACTTGGTTCATGCGCGGGCTACGAAAGGTTCTTAGTCCCTTTATGCGTAGAGTCGTGTCTGCGTACGGGTAAACAGCTTTTGCTCCAAATGAGCTGGTGCGCAATATCAGGTGACAATGAATCCCGTGTGTGTACCACGTGGTGCAGAAAAGGATAGGTTGGCCTATGTATGCTGTTCAGAGTCGCGCATGCACTGTCAACAGCGTTTTCGAGTATATGTAGCTACCGGTCAGGCGTTTAGGCTTCAGATCCAGCGTCAGCACTAGTATATGCGTCGTATTCACATTCACCAATACGCGAAGCGTGCTGCACCACCCTAGTAGATGGGTCAAGGTAACTTCCGGAATCGTAGTCATGTGAAAGTCGTCAATGTGCTGTGCAGCACGATGGATGGGCCGCCATTGTTTGTGTTAGGAGGATTGGGAGAACACATTGTATCATGCACAGCGTGAGGCATACTACTCTGTACAGCACTAACGCAGTGGGAAGTTCCCAATCACGATTAGCGACGCTAATCCGATGTGGGTATTGCGACAGCTCATATTCGCAAACAGTCGGATACAGCTTAGCGCGGAAGATGTGACTCGCAATACGTACGATACGGCCCTACAACTTATGGTAAGTGGAGCCACCAAGTACTCGGCCCGCACAATGCGCCTACAACTTGCCTACTGCTTTGCGTTCGAAGAAAACTGTCAGCTTTCCTATTGGCACACCCGCAGCAAACGCCCATTGATAACGTTGCATGAAGGCGACAACCTCTTGATTCATTTGCTGCATTCGTAAGCAGGGGGTAATAATGATATATTGTCTCATGTATGAGTGTATTGTTGTTGTGTGTATGTACAAGTATGTGGTCTGAGCTCTTGAGTAAACGGACGCATTAGTCATGCCTGCAGAGCAGTCATGTGATGTTGTCGTAGGCTTACAATAACTGACCTTAAGATGATAAATTAGGTAGCATGTGAAAGTAAGGAGCGCAGGAAATGCGTATTAAGAAGGAAGGGAGTCTATCGCAGGTAAGGGAAAAGGATGTAGTACATTACAAATACCACAAGTTGTTCTCTCCTTGACGGGGGGACACGAGATTGAGGGCCAACCACGCCCTCGTCAGAAGTTAGTGATCATCGGTTCACGCGCAAGATCACGTGACAGCATCGACATTGCGCCAAGACCAGCTGTCGTAGGCCAAGCGCTGTCGGGAACCTTGTTGCCAACAACGCTGTGCGACACACTCAGTCACGGACTGGAAGCGAGCGTTAGTGGCAGGTGGGGGGCTGGTCCCACTCCCCCTACCCAGGATCAGCTCTAGCTAAACAGCGGACACGGTCCGCTTACGCGTCCTGTCATATAACCCCGCAATCGGCTTTAGCTGCACGGGGAGGTGGGTGGGATAGGCTTGACCACACCAACGCAGGGAAGCAATGACCAAGCTAACGATGTTCGTGATCTAGCGCAATTGTCAAGACAACTTCTCAGAGCACCTTGTGGGTGTTGCGATTGTGGGTGCTTTGATGGCAATGAACAAGCGAACGAACATCCTCTATCGTGCGCTCACCCGCATACTGCCTGATAGTGATACCAGAATTTTCTGATTGATGTCATGTATCACGCTGATAACGTCGAGTGTCGCAGTATCAGCTAACGGAAGTACGTTCCATTCCAACAATCCTCCAAAAACTTTTTGTTTTGTTGCAGTACTTGGGAAAGCCTGACTCACACGCTACAGGGACAAAAGGCAGACTGATACGGTGGAGTAGAGCGAAGCGAATCTGGCGAACTCATGCGCTAGCCGAAAAAGGTCATAACCACAGGTTCTAGCTGCAAAGACTGCATTGGAAATAGCGCGCTGAAGTGGTCCTCCATCACAAGAGACACGCCCACATCATTGGCGATCATACAGCGTCATCCCACACCGCAAGTACACAAGACGGACGGAAGAATTTCTTTTTCTGTACTGGCACCGGCCAGACACCGATCAACGCTGATAAGAAGCACAGGTCTCGACAAAATAGGCGCGATGGCTCGGAATGGCTGCAGCCAAGATGTTACAAGGTAACAAGGAGTTGCTTCCTTTTGTTATGCAGGCCGCAGGAAGGAAGACCATCGGGATAGCCGCGATGGAAGGTCGCTGATCCAAGGCGGGGCCTGGGATCACGTGACGTGCCATCA